AGGATTGCTGTGAGTTGGAGGCCTGCCAGGGATATATAGTAAGTTCAAGCACAGCCTCTACTACAAAGTGTGACGCTGTTCAAAAACAAAACAACAAAAACCCAGAAACAAACTAATTTTAAAAAGGCATGGGGCCAGGGATTTAGTTCAGTGGTGCAGTTGCCTGCCTCGCAAGCGCAAGGACCCAAGTTCTATCCCAGTTCCAAAGAAAAAAAGACATGTATATTACATATAGCTTCTAGGAGGTAGTTCCTGATTCTGGGACCTACCTCTATTTGCAAAAGGTAACCACCTCTGGAGTGTTATAGAGAATTTCACTCCTAATAGACTTGTAGCTCCCCCACCCACTTTTTCTACCCTTACCTTTGTTGTTGCTGTTGTTGTTTAGCATTGCACTCTATCCTTAAATGTCCCTTAGTAATATCCAGCCTATTTGTGGGAGGGGCTGATTTCTCTCCCCTTTCTTGTGGAAAAGGGCACCGTGACTGTCAGTATGGTTGGGACTGTGACTCCAGGCTGCCCAGCTTCCTCCTTGACAGGCAGAATATGAGAGGTGCAGTTCTGTTAGGAAGCATATGTATTATTCAACATTAGTTTGGGTTTCATACAGCAAAGAAGCAAAAGCAGCATGGTTCAAACATTGAAGTTTATTTCTCTCATATGTTAAAGGTAGGCAAGGGTGGGCTGGTAGGACAACTTTAAAAATTGCTTCTGGGGGTGTGGGTTCCTTCCTATTGCAAACAAAGGCAGAAATACTTCTGAGGTTTTTCGTTTTGTTTTTGGTACCAGGAATCAAACTCAGGGCCTCATGCTTGCCAGGCAGACACTGCACTGCTGAGCTACATCCCCAGCCCCTTTTTTCTTTTTCTTTCTTTTTTTGATACCAGGGATCACACTCATGACCTTGTGCTTGTGAGGTAGGCTTGTTCCACTGAGCTAAATCCCTGGTCCCTGAGGTCTTCTTCTTTTTTTTTTTTTTCGAGACAGGATCTTGCTTTGTAGTTCAGGCAGGTACCTGACTCCTTTCACCCTGCCTCTAGCTTTGGCTTCTGATGCTATGTGGTGGATAATTAACTCTTATCATTGAGAAAGAAACATATGTGTATGGTGAGTAAGTCAAAAGTATAAAAGGGTGTACCATGGACAAAGCCTCCCTCTCTCTCCAATGCAGATCTTCTGTCTCCCTCCCCAGAGGCAGCCTCACCAGCCAGGTGCTTTTGTATCCTTCCAGCTGGTCTTTTGGATCAGGCCCTACAGGGACTTCCATGAGGAGCAGCTTCATTCATTAGGTCAGCACGCAGCCATTGAACTTCCACTGGGTGCCATATTTCCTTGAGTGCAGAAAGGAACAAATCTGCAGGATACTTGCAGTCGGGTGGAGGGAAGGAGTGGAAATGGGATCTGTGCTTGGCAGTGTGGGCTGAGGGGTGTGTCAGCCTTTTCCACAGTTCGGGTGCAGACACAACCAGGATATTGTCAGTCTTTTCTCTCCCTGTGGATGTCTATCTTTATTTTCTCTCTCCATTTGTTCCCGTCTATCTTTCCATTTCTCTACTCTCTCCTTCCTTCCCTCCTTCCCTTCTTCCTCTCTCTCCCTCTCCCCTCCCCCTTTCTCCCACCTTCATCCTGTTTTCTTGGTATTGCATTATCCTTGCCAGTCTTTTTCTCAAAGCTCAGTCTCATTTCTGCTTCTTTTTGTCATCCTGCTTCCTTTCTCTGCTTCTTTGTGGTTTCTGTTCCTGTTACTAAGGGTTTGTATGTTTGTTGACTTGCTGTGGTTTCTGACTCGTAGAGTAGCTTTCCAGTACTAGATTGATTTGGTCTCTTGTATTTTAGCACCACTTTCCGGAGAGACAATCTAATAGGCTTGGATTTTGGTCCAGGGTCCGGCTCCATCTGTCATGATATGGGAAGGGAGCAATTTTCAAGAAAAGACTGGAAAAGTACCTCAGAATAGCTTATTGTACTGAACAGAGGCTTACTGGTGGCTGTTAATGACCTATGTTGGCTTAGCGCACACAGAACTTTGATTAGCAGCGTAGGTCACAGAGAACACCTCCCAGTAGCATGCATTCCTTTGGGTTTCTTCTTTCCTCTCCTTTGACCACTGTGCCGCCAGTCCCCACAGCAGGCTTGCCTAGTGAGCACCTGTGTTATTTGCCAGTGTATAGAGTAAAGCTCTTGAAGCATGTGAAGGCCATTCTGCCATAAGTGGTTTTTGTTTTTGTTTTTTACACCTGGCTCTGGTGCTGCTTTCCTTTTGAGTGGAGGAAGTTCCAGGTTTCTGACCATTTCCTTGCCCCAGACAATTGGCTGTTAAGTCAAAGCCATCACCACTTTAATTCCAACCAGAGTTCATCAGTTCCCCTGTTTGGCGATGAGCTTAAGAGCACACTGTACTTTTGTTGCCCCCTGAGAATTTGTGATCTTTGGGAAACAAGACTCAAACATCTGAGGAAGAGACCTACTTGAGACAGGTCTCCACTGGACCATATAGCATTAGACACTAATTTTCTGCAAAGTGGGAATGCTACTGGGGTCAGAGGAGTGGGATTTCAGGGAATGCTGGCTGTTGTATTTGGAGAAGGATTTAAGAAAGAGTAGGGGGCTAAGACACTGGAAGTGGTGTTGTCATGAGGAATGTTTCTTTCATCCTGTTTTTGGGTTTTTTTTTTTTTTTTTTTTCAGTACTGGGGATTGAACCCAGGGCCTCACACATGCTAAGCAAGCATTCTATCACTGAGCTACCTGCTCAGAGCTTTTTATTTTATTTTAATTTATTATTATTATTGTACCAGGGAGTGAACTCAGGACCTTGTATTTGCCAGGCAGGTACGGTGCCACTGAGCTAAATCCCTGGCCCTGTTTTTTATTTTTCAACATTCCCCTGTTTGTTTGTTTTTGAGACAGGCTGTGGCTGTGTAGTTCAGGTTGTCCTTGAATTCCCTGTGTATTCCCACCCTGGCTGCAAACACATGCTGATTCTCCTGCCTCAGCCTTTTTTTTTTGGTACCAGGGATCAAATTTTGACCTTGCACTTGTGAGGCAGGCAGTTGCCTCAGCCTTTTGAGTTACTGGGCTTATAGACATATACCACCACACCTGGCTTAATTTTTTATTTTTTTTGAGACAGGCTCTTGCTAAGTTTCCCAGCTTGCTTGGATTCTCCTGCCTCTCAGTAGATAGGATTACAGGCATACCCTTCCTTATTCATGCCCGATATATACACAAAAGAATTGTCTTTTCCTCCTTCTACTCTATTGCCACTAGCAACACCCACTTCCCTCATCTAGCTGAGCCCCTGGCCCCTGTGAAAACCTTTCGCAAATATAAGCCAGCCCTTCACTTAGTTTTTGGCAGGCTCCAAAAGACTGTGATAAATATGAGGTCTACGTAAAGTTCTCTGGAGCCTTGGGACTATCAAGAGGTGTCGCTGTGTTCTTTTTTCCCCAGGCATCATCCTTTGATTCCCTATAGATTGAGCAGACTTTTTTTTTTTTTTGAGACAGGGTCTCACCGTGTAGTTGAGACTGACCTGGAACTCACTATGTAGGCCAGGCTGGTCTTGAACTCATATCGATCTTCCTGCCTCAGCCTCCTGAGTGCTGGGATTACAGGCGTGCACCACCATGCTTGGTGAGCAGACCTTTTTTTTTTTTAGCAGGAGCAAAGTGCTAGGACCTTGGTGTGTGTGGTGGTACATACCTATAATCTCAGCACTTTGGGAAGCTGAGGTAGGATTGCAGGTTTGAGCCCAGTCTTGGCAATTTAGCAACTTAGCTAAACCCTGTTTCAAAACAAAAGATGAAAGAAGGGCTGGAGATGTAGCAGTCTGGGTACTTTAGTGAGATCCTGACTCAAAATAAAAAAATAGTAAAAGAGCTGGGGAGGTAGCACAGTATGAAGACCCAGAGTTCAGCACTTAGTATCAAGCCAAGTGTGGTATCAAACACTTGTAAATCCCAGCACTTGGGGGGCTGAGGCAGGAGGATCACTGTGAGTTTGTGGCCAACCTGGGCTATATAACGAGGCTCTCTGTCTTAAAAAAGAAAAGAAATATTACTTAGTACCTGGGGTTACAAAAAGGGCTAAGTTCTCAACATGGGGCCGCAGATGTCACCGAGCTGAGTAAGGAGCTGGGCTTAAAGGCAGCCTAGCCTTTTTTGTTTTGTTTTGTTTTTTATTTTTGAGTCAGGGTCTCACTTTGTAGTTCAGGCTGGCCCTGAACTCATTATGTAGCTCATGTTGTCCTCGAACTCATGGCAATCCTCCTGCTTTAGCCCCTTGCCCTGTGCTGGGATTACAGGAGTGACCCACCACGCCTGGCTCAGCCTAGCCTATAAGGAGGACTCACTTCTCTGTGGCCTTCACTAAAAATTTACCTCATTCATTCCTCTATCTGTTTTCTTCTCTTCACTCCCCTAACCCCTCATGGTACTGCGGATTGATTGCCTTCACATTGAGCTGCATCCCCAGGCCTTTTTTAAATTTTTTATTTTGAGACAGGGTCCCTCTGAGTCATTAAGTTACTCAAGCTGGGCTCAAACTCTCAGTGCTCCTGCCTCAGCCACCTAGAGTGCTTGGGGTTATAGGTGTGTACTGCCATACCTGGCTTTATGGGTATTTCTTGTCCCCACAAACTGATGTGGCCATAGAGAGCTCTTGTGCTTCTTGGAGTTTGGAATCTGGAGAGTGTGGGTGGGGAAGAGTGAGTGAGATGAGGTCAGTCATTCTTAGGTCTGGAGAGAATTTCCAAAAATGGCTGTGGCAGTCAGAATGTATGATATGTGTCCATGCAGGCCTTTATATTTTTGAATGTTGGTAGTGTGGGGATGTCCGTGAGTGCTATCAGATAGAGCAGATTTTCCTGTGGTTCTCACTGGTCTGTTATTCCCTCTAATTTATGCAGAAAGGGCAGAAATGGTGTTTTCTATAAGCAGAGGTTGGGACTCTGTGCCCTGAGCTCAAGCCTGCTGGTGACTTTATGGTTTTCCTTCTAGGTCTGCTGACATTTGTGAACTGTGCCTACGTCAAGTGGGGCACTCGAGTACAGGACATGTTCACGTATGCCAAGGTCCTAGCGCTCATTGCCATCATTATCATGGGCCTTGTTAAACTGTGCCAGGGTAAGAGGGGCCCACGGTGGGAAGAAGGGTGAATGTCCCAAGAGTTACTCTGATTTCCTGAGGAGGGTGTGGGGGTTTCCCTGGGTTATTGCTTAGATCTTCTGTGTACATGTTGGAATGTATCAGTGAATACAAGAGATGTCCATAAATCTCTTTGTGGACTTTGTGGGACAGGTAGGCTTGGACATGTCAGGCCTCCCTCAGGGGACCTTCCCATTTGTAGTGGCTGGGATTGTTGCAGGAAGCCAGCCAAGGGCCTACAAACTCTTGAAACTTAGGTTATAACTGGGTCCAAGAAGTCATCTGGGGGTTACCGTGGCTCCTGGTTTTGATCTGTGACTGCCAGCATCAAGTAGGAAAACTTGACCCCTTGACCCTCCTATAGAGGGGTGGCAGGATGTGTGTGTGTGCGTGCGTGCGTGTGTGTGTGTGTGTGTGTGTGTGTGTGTGTCTGTGTATTGGAGGGAGATAGGATGTAGGGTGGTTATTTTACAGTCTGCTTTTCATCTGGACTTGGGTTCAGCATTCCCTTCCAAAGTTAGCTCTCAACAAATTACTGGAATATTGTGAAATTGGCACTGTCTTTCCAGGATGTTATCTTTCAAGAAGTTTTTCATTCCTACATCAGAGCAGGCTGGTAGCAAGGTAACACGATCTTCTGAGTACTTAAAAAATCCTAGGGAATCTTTAGCCAAGGGCATCTTCCTTATTTAACAACAGAGCTGTGTTTATAATCACCTATTGGATCACACTATGGTTTATTTGAAGTCTAAGAAGCTGTTATTTTTTTCCCCTGAGGTGCTGGGGATTGAAGTCAGGGCCTCACTCATGCTAGGCAAACACTGCTACTGAGTTATACCCCCAACCCAAAGCTGTGCTTTAGCAAAGTGCTTCTTAGGCAGGTGGTGTAGGACTTTGTGCAGCCAGCCATCTGTATGCTCTGGAGCCTTGGCTTGTTGAGTAATCGTTCCTCCGGAGTCTGTGCCTCAGAAAACCATTGTGCTGTCCAGGGACTAACATCCTGGCTGATGGGCTCTCTATTTTCCTTTTTCTTGCTATATACTCAGCTCTTTTTTGACACTGTAGAGCTGGGTCTGAGCTTTCTCCAGGGGGTGATGATGACAAATTTCTTCTCTTTTCTCTTCTTCCTTTCTTTTCTTTTCTCTTCTTCCTTTCCTTCCTCCCTTCCCTTCCCTTCCCTTCTCTCCCCTTCTCCTTCCTTCCTTTCCTTCCTTTCTTTTTACCTTCCTTCCTGTCTTTCTCCCTTCCTCCTCTCCTTTCCTCTTCTTTCCTTTCTTTCTTTCTTTCGTACCATTTTAGCCAGGCATAATGGCACACCTATAATCCCAGCACTCTGGGAGGCTGAGGCAGGACGATCACAGGTTTTGAGTCCAGCCTATTCAAGTTAATTTAGTGAAAATCTGTCTCTTAATAAAAAAATAAAAAAGGGCTGTGGATGTAGTTCACTGTGAAGGCCCTGGGTTCAATTCCCTAGTACCGCCACACCTACAACACAAACAAAAACCCGTAGACGGGGGTTTGTGTCCAGAATGTCTTTTTTTCTGGCAGCTAGTTGCTGTACCCCTGGGCTTTCAGGTCTGCAGTCTCTTGAGTCCTCTAAGGAGAATGACAGGTGGCTTGGTTCCCTTGGAGGTAAAGGTGGCCCAATGAGAATAAGAAGACCTTAGTTCTTCTGTAGATTGTAGTTTCCTGCCCCATGCACTCACACCCACTGCAAGTAAAGCAGCAGAGTCCTCTTCAGGAGACTGATTGTTAATGGAAAGTCTGATTGTTAATGGAAAGTGAATCATTCATGGCTATAACATCAGCTAGTGGTATTTATTATTTAAAAAAATAGGTGGAAGCTGGGCACGGTGGCCTATGTTTGTAATCCCAGCACTTTGGGAGGGAGAAACAGGAGGGTCACAAGTTTGAGTCCAATCTGGGCAATTTAATGAGACCCTGTCTCTTAATGGATAGTGAGAAGGCCTTGGCTTTAATCCCCAGCACCAAGAAAAAACAAAAGGTAGAAGATGCGTGGCTTGCTGTGAAGTCACTTGCAGGAAGTAAAAATTCCTTAGCACTTTGGAAGAAGTGTTGTCACATCAGAGGGCAGCCAGGAATGAATTTGTTTTTTGGCTGTTGTCTAGTTTCACTAAAGCATGTTAACGTTCCTGAGGGAATGGCGGGGAGGGGTCAAGTACAAGGAGTTGATGATGATTGTTCTTTTGGTATTAAATGACTATTTTTTTTTCTTCCCCTTGCCCTTCTGTTTTTTCTTTCTTTTCTTGCCCCTCCTTGTCTTCTTTCCCCTTTTTCTTTTTTTCATCTTCCCCCCTTCTCCTTTGACCTCTTCCTTCTGCTTGAACCCCCACAGGACACTCTGAACACTTTCAAAACACCTTTGAGGGTTCCTTCTGGAATGTGGGAAACCTCTCTCTTTCCCTGTACTCTGCCCTCTTCTCTTACTCAGGTTGGGACACCCTTAATTTTGTAACAGAAGAAATCAAAAACCCAGAAAGGTAAAGGCGAGATCACACTCTCATTCCCCAACTTGGCTGGAACTCCTGCTGATAGTGGGCAAACCTTCTCCCTCTGCCTCTCATCCTCTGTTTCTCCCTCCTCCCCCTTCTCATGAGGAGGTGGGGGGCCAGGATGGGAATGAAAGAGTGGCTTTCACCTTCATGTTTACAGTGGAGGGTCCTCAGGGTCCTTCCTAGAGGAGAAGTCCGTGGGCAGCAGCAGACCCATCTGGGGCTGAGGTGTCAGGACCTTGCACTGTGGTGTTTAGACTGTACCGTGGAACCTGAGCTGCTTCTGGCCAACTGGCCTAGCCTGGCCTCTAGTTTCCAAAAATCTTTGCATTTGTCTTGATTTCATAGATGCAGGATTATGAAACATTATGAAATCTATTTCCCTACGGTGGTGAAGATTAAGTATAGATTATGAGCTATCTTTACATGGAAAGCTGTCTCTCCCTTAGTAGATAGAGTCCAGGGGCATGGGATGTATACCCACCTTAGACTACAAGAGGAAGATGGTCTTGTCTCAAAGACCTGGAGGCCAGTGAACTGTTGAGAGTTAGGCAAATTCCAATGGAGACTTGATGAACTGTGATCCCAGGAGAGGTTGATTCTAGGTAGTCCTATGTTACTTGTCCTGACAGAAACTTGCCCTTGGCTATTGGGATCTCTATGCCAATTGTGACGCTGATCTACATCCTGACCAATGTGGCCTATTACACAGTGCTGAGCATTTCGGAGATCCTTGACAGCAACGCAGTAGCTGTGGTGAGTCTCTTTGGATCCTCATTTGTGCATCATCTTATGCTACTTAGACCCCTGAATGGCCCAGTCTCTCTCTGCAGCCACTGCAACTCTGAAGGACAAAGAGATGGGTCTAGGTCAGGTGGTGGGCTCTTCAGTAGTGGCTGTGTTTGTTCTAAGAGTATAGATGCAAGAGGACTAGAAATCCTTGTTGTGGGTTGATTGTGCCTTCTGTGCTCTACTTCTAGACATTTGCTGACCAGACATTTAGCAAGTTCAGTTGGATCATCCCCATTGCTGTTGCACTGTCTTGCTTTGGGGGCCTCAACGCGTCTATCTTTGCTTCATCAAGGTACTGTATAATGCTTCACTGATAATAGACTTTGAGATTGAATTCTGTGGAGCTCCAGGCATAAGAGCTTCTCCTTTCCTTTCTCTCTCACATGGGTAGACGGTGTGTGTTTATGTGCCTTTCTGTAAACATCTGCATATGACATGAACACAGATTGTAAAAGGGTATAAGGGAGGAAGGAAACAGCTTGTAGTAGTGGCCCTGAATGTCACCAGGTTGTAGGGTCCTGGTGAGTTTTACTACAATTCTTAAATAACTGAGCACTTAGCGTGTACCAGGTACCAGTGCTGTGAGTAGGATGACTCAGTCTCTCGCCTTACAGAAAACACTGAGGCCAAAAGTAGGTTCCTGCTCCTCTCTGCAGAGACCTGTCTACAAGAGCACTTATCTGTCTTGTTGCAGAGGAAGGAGCAGATCCACCTTTTCAGGGGTTCCTGCACTTTCTTTTTCCCCACTTTGCTTCATTATTTAGCCCTACTCTGGTTTATTTTTATTTATTTATTTATTTATTTTTGGTATTGGGATCAAACTCAGGACCTTGCACTTGCAAGGCAGGCACGGTGCCATTGAGCTAAATCCCCGGCCCCATTATCTGGCCCTTCTCTTTGATGTTCACTTGAAATCAGGTCTCTCTGCTGGGCGTGGTGGCGCACGCCTGTAATCCTAGCACTCGGGGGGCTGAGGCAGGAGTATCGCTGTGAGTTGGAGAACAGCCTGGACTACATAGTGAGTTCCAGGTCAGTCTCAACTACATAGTGAGACCTGTCTCAAAAAAAAAAAAAAAAAAAAAAAAAAGATCCCCCCA